TTTTTGTATTTTTAGTAGAGACGGGGTTTCACCATGTTGACCAGGATGGTCTCGATCTCTTGACCTCGTGGTCCACCCACCTCGGCCTCCCAAAGTGCTGGGATTATAGGCATGAGCTACCACGCCTGGCCTGAAGACTTTTTTTAAAAAAGTATATGTACCACAAACTTTTGAAAAGATATCTATTATAAACTACTATTATCATCATTTGTGATTTGTTCTTACAAATTTAATCTTGTACAGACTTTGGACTTCTAAGATTCACTGCCTTCCTGGAGTTTAGACATGGCCCTGGGAATCACGGGTCTCAGGCCAGTTTGGCCTCAACAATACTTGTCCGTGGCTTCCCTGATCAGGTAGCGCTTCTGCAAGGTTATCATCATTTGATAAATCAAGGAAAATTCTTTCATGTTCCTTTCTAATTTCCCACTAGTGACAAAAGTCAAAAGAGAGTAACTCTCATCAGAACCAAAGACTTTTTCGAACATCAAAGGTATAAAGCCTGCTCTCATATTTGCTTTCCTCATACTCTTATCACAGAATTTCGCCATTTCTTTCTCATTTGGAGAGAGGAGCAAAGCATTCCCAAGCTCCCTGCAAATTTTGAAAGAGTTCTTTAGGATCAGTTTCAATCTAAACATAATCGTTTTGCTAGCGTTCAAGTTGTCTCAAGCACCTGCATTTTTTTTCCCAGTTGATTTCAATACAGCCAAATTTTCATCAGTATTCTCAAATAATTGGTTCCAATAAATCTTACAATTTTAAACAAACTATTTTCAAATAAAATTTAGTTAGTAATCAAATTCTAGACATTAAAGATGGTTTTCCAGTACTCTCAACTACTAAGCGAACGTAACACCTTCCAACTTAAGAACTTGAAATGAGTTTATAAATGACTATGCCAATTAATAAAAAAAAGTATACATTGTAAATGTCAAAGTTGCATGTTGTAAGCAACTAAAACTTCCAAAACCTAGGATGTGATACATTAATAGTATACAAAGCATTATGGTTGCATTGCAGAAAGATTATAATAAATATTATTGTATTTAGAACATAATTCATTTTTAAATTTTCTACTTTTTCTTCCTGGGAAACATGTTAGTGATTCTGGGAACTCATCAAATCATATGAAAATGCATACCTTACAACATATACTGCTTTTCAGAGGTTTTTTTTTTTTGTATATACTATTGCAATAAATTGTATAATTCCTTTAGAATGGCAGTTTTCAACTTTTCCCAACTTTACATACAAAGGCACATATTTTCATGCAAAATATGTTCCTTTGAATAAGCTCATATACTGATAAATAACAAGAAGAAAATATGGAAAGTGGAACAAATAATGCTATATGTAGGTTTTTACTGTCGTTTTGTATTTTCTCAGTTTAGTATTCAAATACATATTTTATCTCTATGAGACATTATTAGCTATTACATTAGAAAGACTTCACCCTGTGACAAAGACAGTCTGTTGTTGTGCATACATCCAATAATTCTCACTAACCTTCCAACCTTTCATCTCACACTCAAGAAAACATAGAATGATGTCATTGCAAAAATATCCTTGTGTCCCTCTATGTCACAGCACAATGGTCAAAAACCATTGCCTCAAAGACATGTCTTGTTATGCCTATTTGGCAGATGAAGAAAGCAAACTCCTCTGAAAGGTTAAATACTTTCCCCAAAGTCAAATACCTAGCAAAGGAAGACCTAGCTAAATCCCAAGTGTTCACACCTAGTTTCTAATGACTCTTTTCCTCCTCCTAAGAGAAGATATAACTTACATAAATATTCCACCTTTAAATATTTCATATATAGACTGATATCAAATCTTTCCTAGTTATTTGCTGCCATTTTAGCCTCTCTGCAAGCATCTTTCAGACTCTACTATTAAGTCACCCACGCATGAGACATGTATCATCAAGGCTACTGCCAGATACGAGAGAGAAAACTCTCCAGCAGTTGAGTTTGAGATCAATCCGGTGACTGGAATGGTGCACTGCTATTCCATATGGCCACTGGCCAGCGCTCACTGGGTCTCCTGGCAGGTATTGTGGATGTGACTGTAAATGTAAAATATACTCGAAAATGTGTTTAATTGTGGCTAGGCTGCAGGCAGCTGAAGAAATAGGGGAAGTTTAATGTAAGGTTGCTGCTACTTAAATTTAATAGCCACAATTTTATTGAAATAATAATCCTCATAGTTCAACGGACCCCATGTGTTCTTGCATCTAGCTTTAAGAAGGCAATACTTCAGTTTCAAGAGTCTCCACCACTAAAAGATATTTGCTTTTTGTTTTTATTGTATGATAACTTAAGTATCTGAAAGGGATGCCAAGGGTTGTTAATAGCAGTGGTAAAGGGCTTTGTCTCTTGTTTCAACTGATTTAGGAGATTCACATCTTATACATGCTTTACTGGTGATTTCCCATTTTATTTTTATATTTTCATGGTCCTTATATTTCTTTAAATTCTCATTAGCTTAAGATCATATATTTTTCTCTATTTCCATGTATATATTTTGTTCCATTCTCACTTGTCAAAATTATTATTATTTTAGACAGAGTCTCTCTCTGTTCCCCAAGATGGAATACAGTGGCACAATCTTGGCTCACTGCAACCTCTGCCTCCCGAGTTTAATTACCCTGCCTCAGCCTCCTGAGTAGCTGGGACTACAAGCGCATGCTGCCATATCTGCGAATTTTTTGCATTTTAGTAGAGACAGGGTTTCACCGTGTTGCCCAAGATGATCTCAACGCCCAAGCCCAGGCAATCCACCCTCCTCCGCCTCCTAAAGTGCTGGGATTACAGCCATGAGCCACCGCACCCGGCCCATCAAAATTATTCTTATTCTTTACTTATGCCATGATAAACTCAAGCATTGCTATATTCTCACCCTTTCTTCTCCATTCATATATGTTTTTCCTCTTCTTTCTCATTCTGTCATTTACTTATACAACTATGTGCAACAAAGCCATGTGTGCTCCTTCTTTAACTTGGTTACTATAAGGAAACATTTAATGTCTTTCTTAATACCTGATTTTATTCTATTTTTGAATGTGTCACCTACAGAAAGATAAATTTCTCTCTCCCTTGCCCCCAAGCATTATATTTCCAAAACCTGATATAGATACCCAGGAAGAAACAGCACACAGAAAAATAATTCAACTAGTGGTGAGGAACCTTGACCAGGTCAAAGAGTGAGTCTCCATAAAACAATGAAATCAACACTTTGTGCTAACACAGAGACTCCTCAGACTATCCTGGAATAAAGATACTTGTTTGGAGAGTACTGATTTATTCTTCAAGATCCAGCTAACATCTTTTTTTTGATAAAGGTCTTCCTGACCCCACCGTAGCCAGTTGTCACTTCTGCCTTTGTGCCACAACCATATTGTATACACAGTTGAATATTTATTTTATTGTTCTGAAGTGACTTATGTGACCTTCTTTACAACTGAACTGTGAGTTTCTTCAGAAGTAAAACTAGTCTTTTCATTTCTTTTCAACCTCAGCAACTAAGACAGTGCCTGACATGTAATAAGTGTAGGTCAAATGCACTACACAAAATGATCTCTAAAGTTCCGTATAGTCCAGTGATTATGTATACGAAGTATTTCGGAGTTTACTTTTTGTGGCATTCATATTCATATTCAAATGAAATAAGTCAGCGTATTCAATACTTACGACAACTTTAACATGTTTGGATAGATCTCTAGAACTTCTCTGTAGGAAGTCAGAAAAAGCTGCCTATACCACAAGGAAATAAAGAAGAAGAAATTCGTAATTACGCGGTATACCAAATCCTTGCTTCCATATTCTAGATTCCAATGATTCCAAAGTATGCAAAAATTCTAAACAAGTTCTTTTTCTGCAGAATCCAAAGTAAAGCAGGGCAGTAGTTGTCAAATTGCAAATTTTCTCTTTGTTTCCAAGCTATAATTCATAGTTCCACTACAAAATTTAAGAGCACAGGATGAAGGTGAAAAAGTAGGCAATTCTGAGGGTCATTTGAAGGTTTATTTTGACTACCTTTTCTGACCAATCTACTTGTCCATTAAGTCCTGATACAGTCTTTCCACTAAGGTTTCCTTATTTGCTTTGACTTTCATATGGCATGACTTCCATAAATTATATATGCAGCTTCCAAATGCCTTTTATTTAAACTTCCCCATCCAGTAGCATAAATTAAAACTGTACTTTACTGATATTTTGGATGGCATTTACTTCTATGAATGTGCCTGGGAAACAAAAGAAGGAAAAAGAAGGCACCACCTTTAATCTCATGTATGCTTCCATGAAAAACATACCATGTTCTGCTCATTTCTTATCCAAATGTCAAAGTGCACTCCCTGGTGAAAACTACATACTTAGCTAAGATTCTTCATACATCCTCAGTCTGCAACATTCCCCCATTTCTTACATTGGCTTTGATGTTTGTTTTTCACATCACTCTTTAAATAGCATCCTCTCTTGTGCAACATGAAGCCTCAGGGCTTGCTTAAAAGCTCAAGATGAGGAACACCAACTCTCTTTCTGACAACTAACTTAGGAAATACACCTCATTTTCATTCTTAAGCCCAGACATTAAACAGTAACCATATATAGACACATATAAATGAGATGTACATGTTAGTATTTCTAATGTAGTTTACAACTTTATTACTCACAATGAATTAGCACTAAGTAATATGTAGTGATTATGAAATAAAACGTATACCTACCCCTGCATAGAACATTTTATTTCGAAAACGACTGTTGAATTTCTCTGGATTTGCTTCTGTGAAAGAGGAAAGGTAGTTTTGTTATGGAAACCTCATTAAAGGTAGTGACTTAGATTAGCACTTCTATTTCCTCCCCAACTCCCTCCTATCCTACAGATCCAGTCGATCCCATGGTTTGGTTATTATCTTGCCCCCAGTTCCAGGCCAGTTAGTACAGTGGCCCCGTGCTACAGGGACAGTAAGCCCAGACTATAAATGCCTAGCTCCAAACTAGCATCATTGACATTAACTGGGAGCTTGTTAGAAATTCAAATAATTAGGCCCTAGCCAGACCTACTGAATCAGAACCACTCAGTGTGTAGTCTACACATCTGTGGAGGGGCTCAACTAGCTCTCCAGGTGATTCTCAAGCACATTAAGACTGAGGCACGCAGCCGGGTGTGGTGGCTCACACCTGTTATCCCAGCACTTTGGGAGGCCGAGATGGGCAGATCATGAGGTCAAGAGATCAAGACCATCCTGGCCAACATGGTGAAACCCCATCTCTATTAAAAATACAAAAATTAGCTGGGTGTGGTGGTGCACACCTGTAGTCCCCGCTACTTAGGAGGCTGAGGCAAGAGAATCACTTGAACCCGGGAGGCAGAGGTTGCAGTGAACTGAGATCATACCACTGCACTCCAGCCTGACGACAGAGCAAGACTCTGTCTCAAACAAAACAAAAGACTGAAGCACTCTGGGTGCTCTGTAAAAACTGGAGGGTTTGCAGGGATATTGGGCTGGGATAACAGGAAAATGAGGAGGGAAGTGAAGAAATGATTATTTGACTTTCAGAGGGCATGACTTCCATAAACTAGGTATGCAGCTTCCAAATGTAATTAAACATGTTTTGAGTTTGATTTGAGTTTGGAATAAAGTAGATATAAAAAATGGAATTAACGTCAGTTTAATTATTCCTTCTAAAAGAAATACAATATATTAGTTATGCTGAGAACTGTCCATTTGATGGGCTATATTTATATCTGTGCTAAAAATTCTTTCCACAGTTAAATTTTTAAAAATTCTTCTTTAATGAGATTTGTATTAATTGCCCATTTTATGTAGATGTATTGGCATAACTCTCAACCTAAAAGTGTTATATTTTCTTGGCTAATACCTCGTAGATTCTACTATCCAAGCTTATGTGTTCATAACGGCTTTCACGAGCCTTTGCGTTAGCCTCCAGGTATTTTATGGCAAATGATACACGAAGCCGCAAACAGTGCTTGTGTCGGAAAACAGTTTAATGTCTCGCTGTGAGTTTTCTTGGTTTGAGAACAGCTGCCCACTGACAAAATAAGTAAGCTTGCCACAATTAAAATTGTGGTGATGCTTATCCTGTTTTTCCTTCTACAGCTTAAGATTTCTTGACTAACTAGGTATAAATATGGGAAAAATAGAAATGAACAGAAACAGTAAAAAAAAAAAACAAAAAAAACCTAGCTGCTTAATTACATATTTCATAGACAAACATTTTTCAATTTAATGTAAAAATAGCAGATTAACAGATACTGAAAAGTCCATACCTCTTGTCTAAGTATATCAACAAAATCTGGTTTCAATATCTTATAGATATTTATTTTTTTACCATCTCTATCTCACCAGCATGAATATTACATCTATTATTCTTAATCAACATAGTTTTTCCCTTATCAGCCCTTCAGTGGCTGATTTTCCTCAAAGGCTCTGATTTAAGTGCAGGGAAAATGTTTACAATTCCATTTCAAACTGCATCAGAACACAATAAGCCTTAGCAAAAAACTATACAAAGATTAGTGCTTGACATCGTTTAAACAATTGTTTTATAGTCACCCACATATAAATGTACATGTTCATACACACAACAATTTGCTTATTCTACTCTAAAACAGTCCTACAGCTTAAAATAAAAGAAAACAAATCACTTTCCCCAAAAGACTTTTCTTCTAAGCCTGGTCTTTCCATGTAAGGGTCTCTTCCAGCTCCCTTCTCACTCTGATGCATAGAAACTTCATCATAGTACAAGGAAGTGACTCATTAGAAAAACTTCTGGATTCGTTAGACTAAATATGAGCCTCACTTGAATGAGCTCATTGTTGGCCACGTACTCATTTAGACCTCTTTTCATGCCTATTTATGGAAATTTATGTATTAGTGATAACTGCGTTTCTTTACAAGTATTATTAAGAAGTTTTGTATGAGACAAAAAAAGGGGTAAGAAATGAAGTTTAAAATCCCCCATTTACTTTCCAAATTAACTCTCCTTCAATATAGGAAGGGTAACGGATCATAAATGGTGGTCCTAAGGTAGGTCCCTCTGCATACCTAATACCCAAGAACTGCCTAAGGCAGGGAGGGTGACAGTGGTAGTGTTTCTGACTCAGGGTATTTCAGGTCCTGATAGCAATTATCCTTTCTGGCTAATCCAAGAGGAATAGCAAACTATATGGCTTTCTCTTCAAACACTATCGTTCTTGCTTGGCAAAGAACTTGACCTTTACAGAGCCTGTCCTCTCAAAACCTTGTGAAACCAGAAAGGTCAAAGTCTACTAACATTGCTGAATCCAGTAAGGAACTTTAAAGATTTGTTCTTTGCTTGTATTTTATATCCTAGTGGTTTTTAATCCTGTAGCACCACTCTTGACTTCCAGCTCATAAGTGCATTATCAGAATCTTCACGTGTTATTACCAGAATCTAAAAATGTGAATTCTAGCTTTTAGTACTCTGTTATTTCAAATGCTATGATTGAAAGCCACTTTCTTTCTTCCATAACCTGGAGGAAAAAATGTAAAATACTTCCTCATTTATGACTTTCATCTCACAAGTCTCTTACTAATCTACATCCTAGCATAGTTTTGGTTATATATAAATATATTCAGAAGGAACTAGGTACAGATATAGATACAGGCATAGACATAGATATATAGTATAGCTATATTAATAAGAAGAGAGTTGAGAGAGGGAGATAAAGACAGAAAGAGAGATCAATTGGGAGTACATAAGTACATAAGTCAAAACCCTAAACTTTCTCAGTTCTAAATTGCATGGGAAAATGTTGATGAAATTTTTAATAGTATATTATTATTTCATCTTCTCTTTCAAAAATTGTTTTGTTCCCCTAATCTTAACTCCATCTCTTTTAGTATCTGAAATCACAACATGCTCTCATTCACACCTCTGTATGATCCAGTGGGGATCCCTAGTACCTTCCTAATTAATCCCATCACCATTACATCCTATTCTTTGAACCTAAACTACCTATAGCTCTTCTATTGTTCTAAGATGCCTGCTCTTTCTTTAATGCACACAGAGAGGACTTTTTGTTTTTGCTACCATATTTCAATGGCTCTATTATGTAGTGTTACACTTTAATCATGTTTTGTGAAGCTAAAGAGTACCTTAGTGACTTCAGTAATAGTTCTATCACTTCTTAGTAGTTTACTCACTTCAGAATTTTCAGTAGAACTTAAAGAATCCCAAGACCTGGAACACACATCTAGTCCTGTCCTTTACTATCTTTGAGACCCTGGACAACTAGGTCTCAGGGTCCCGTTTGCAAGAAGTTCCTGTCCTGTCTAGCTCCCAGAGTCAACCTGAAGGTTAAAGTGAAACAACACTGAAGCCCACTGTAAACACATAAGTGATATACAAACAAAAGGGAACAAGCAAAACACCTGCTAGAAACTTCCTCCCTGGGAGATGGAAATGGGACGTTGTCCTCACCTCTGGATTCATGGAACTCCAGTGTGACGTGAGCATCAAATCCAAGGCTGAAGTAGTTATTGAAAACATTCAGAGGGAGCTGCAATGATAAACAAAGATAGAAGCAAAACTGTGTGTGGCCAGGCAGAAAGAGAAGAATAAAACCTAAAGCCAGACCCTTAGCTCTGAAGAAGTCCCTAGGAGACAGATCAGCCATGACTTCAAGTAGAGGGTGCTTATGTAGAGAGAACAGGAAATTATTGGATTAATCATTAGTGAAAGCTAAAATCAAGTAATTTTCTCAAGAATTATAAACAGGATAAGAAATAAGAGCTATAAACACAAATTATTAAATAAGGACCATTCTCATAGATGCTGTAGTAATAGGAATTTGTTAAGCTGAGGGATATATGTTTGCAATAGTTACAAAGAATAGTTCACTAAGCAAACTTAGAAAGTAAATTCAATTGTAAGGATAATGTCTAATGAACTTAATCAGTGGATGCATATTTTTCCAAGAATTTATATTCAACAAACCAATATTGTAATGTAAAATGAATATTTAACTTGTTTACCCTATTTTCCCTCTCTATGCACACATACACTGACTTTTTTTTTTTTAATTACAAAAGTCATATAAAAAAATAGGGCAATGGGACCCAGTTGGTTATTGCTGGCCTAGTGGAGAAAAACAACAACAAAAAAACATATTAGTATTATTCAAGTTCTCATTTCATCTATAAACCCTTACGTCTTTACTATGACCATTCTGAAAACACAGACACACAGACGCACATGTAAGCTTTAATTTTTTTCTTCCTAGAGTCCTTTGGGTCTCTGGCTGTTACCGCTGCAAGCTGAGTGAAAAGAACTCTGCAGCCTCAAATCCGGCATTAAAACTGCAAAACTAATGTGATTTTAAGCTTCAGTTCAATGTTAGAATAATTAGGAAAGCATGTGGAAAATGTGAGAATGGGAATGGCTGGTTCTTCCCCTTTTCCTTCTGCAACTCAAGTGTCAGGTAAATGTTAAAGTAAATAAAGACAGGAAATGTTTGAAGCTAATTATCCGGTTTGTGTCCCAAATTGAACTGTACCTGTCTTCTCTGAAAGATAAGTGTTTTAACCCTCAAGATTTTACCAGTAAGTTTTTTACAGTGTCTCATATGCCCCTTGATCAGCAAGATTTTGTTTCACTAGAGGTAGAACTTTCTTTCATTGAGGAAAAAAAAATGAAAAAATGAAATAAGAGAGAGAGCAAGAGAGATATAAACGCAGAAAAAAGAAAATTGGATTGGCTTGGTCTCTAAGGGAAGTAAGGAATGGCCCCACCTGGAAGCTATGAATTCAAAGCCTATATAATGATTCAGAGTCCAAGTGAGCCCTTAGAAATGGTCTCAACTAAATGAAGAACAGGAAGAGAAACTAAACACATAGAACAATGCCAAAATCATGTCTTACTCTTCAGCCTTCTTATTTGAGACTATCCAGTTCCTGCACTTAAACAAAATCCCATCTCTTAGTAATGACAGCATGGGTTGGTGATCCTGCCAAAAGCAGAGACGTGTTCATCTCCTCTACCATTTATGTTCTTTTGGCCACAATTCTAACCCACGTCTTAACATCTACTGATCACTAAGAAGAACATCTGGTCATCATCACCTAAATCATATCCCAACTTAGTCTGTTTTTAAGTTATTTATATTTTCCAGGAAAACTTGCCCCAGTTTCCCATACATCTCTTTAAAAACCCATTTTAAAAATCCCATTAATTATATGGATTTGTGTTACCTGGCTACGCCCAGAAGTCTTTCCATTTCTTAAGCTGTTGGGAAGAGAATTAAATATGGATTTCTATTGCACATCTAACCATTCCATGCTCAGTAGGAAAAGGAATTTAAAATATCCACATAGTACTCTTCTTTGTACTTTAGCTGTTTTCTATCCAATTTCTATAAGTCAAATCCATTATAAAAAAGTATCACATCTAAAGACGATACTTGTTGTTTAAACAACATTGTGACATTTAACTTGAATTCAGCTGAGCAATCATGATATCTACTGTAAATCTTATTAACTTCAGGATCATAGTTTAGGTGAAGAAATGATAAAGATGGAGTAAAACATGTTTTAATCTGATTTAGCCAAGTAAGAAACTTGAACATCTATTAAACTATAATATATATAATTAAATTGCTCAGGATCATGATGCTGATAAATAAATGGGTGTCGGTTTGATCTAAATCTAAAATGATATGGGGTTTAATCTATTATATGCTTGAAACATCCATGAAATCTTAGCTTCAATAAATGGCATGGTTCACTACAATAGGGATACTGTTTGAAGTACAGATGCCTGGTCCTTAACTTGCATTTATTTAATCAGAATCTCTGAGGACTGGGCCTTGCAATCTGCACTTTAACAAACACACCTGGAGATTCTTACGCATGCAGAGTTTGAAAATTCAATCACAGAAAGAAGGTGGAAAGTAATATAAGGGAAGTGACTACTCAGCAGCCTACCAAATTTATCTGAAATTGAGGCCATAACTTAGAACCAAAGGATCAACTGAAGATTGACAGTACTAATTACAACTATTAATATATCATGCTTTGCTTTTCAGTTGAAATAAAAGCTCAGTCACTGAAAGAAAACACGAAGTCTGGACATAAAGATGGCAACGATAAACAATGGGGACCACTAGAGTGGGGAGGGAAGGACAGGGGCAAGGATTGAAAACCTTTGGTTACTATGCTCACTATCTGGGTGATGGGATCAGTCATATCCCAAACCTCAGAATCATGTAATATATCCATGAAACAAACTTGCACATGGGCAGCTTCAATCTAAAATAAACGTGAAAATTATTTTTTAAATAACATGAAGTCAAACACATTCATTTAGGTATCTTCAAGTCCCACCCAAATGATAAAATTGGCATAGTTAATACCTCCTAAACATAAGATATATTTTATATCCGGCTAGAAATCTCAGGAGGTTCTATTTCTACTGAAAGAACAACTGCCCAATGCTTCCAAATATACATATTTTTTCATATTATCATAGGTTATTTGCTATTAACACAAATGATTAAAACTGAATTCATGCCTTTCTAGTGTAGAAGTTGAAGACAGAGAAGAGTTCCCTGAGCTCTGGAAGCAGGTATGAAATCTAGATCTTTAGAGGTCCATGGGGCAGAATCGTTAGGTGGTATTATTACCACCTAATGGTTGATGGCACTAGTAGACATCAACTCAAACACTATCACATTATCTCATAGGAATTCATCAGCACATGACTCTCCAGCCAGGAATTTATTTCCTGTAACTCAGGCAGATGCTCCAGGGCTCCTTCCTGCAGAACAAAAAACTCTCTAACCTTACATACGCCATCTTCAAGTTCTTCTGGAGGCAAGTCAGGATTTCTTTCCACGTGGAGGTTCCAGCGATCTAGCTGTACAATTGTCCCGTCTTCCACTTGGCATAAGATCTTGGAAACAGGTTCATCAGTGTAGCCCTGAGGAATCAGAGAACATATTCATTGCCGTCTGAAGAGGAGGACAGTAAAGCCAATGCTATTTTATGCAAGGAAGTGCCCTGCTGCTATATTCTTTTAATTTGTAATTAGCAAGGCTTGGAGAGCAAATTATTTACCTTGAGGTACTTAGAATTTGAGACAATACTGTGAGTAAGATACATAGAAACACTAGCTCTGGCTGATTTGAGCTGAGGAATATTTTTTGTCAGCAGTAAGAACCAATAGTCATGGGTACACATTAAGGGCCATAAGGGAGGCTGGATGGCTGCTTTTATCAGAGTGAAAAATAGGACTCCCCACTACTCTCACCAGAGGAGCCTGGAGGAAACACAGAACAAATGTGTTTGGAGAGGCAGGGAAAGAATCAAGGAGGGATGGGATTGACAATGCTGTTCTATTAACATTCCCTCGCAATCACCTCTCCCTGACCTCCTTAGGGGACACCATTCTTCCCATGACCTAAAGCAAGACTCGCTGAGGAATGGCCCTGTTAGGGAGCTACTTATTCCTTGAGGATCCATTACTGACAGCATGATAGACTGTCCTCAGTAGGATACTCCAGGCACTGATTTGGATGGTAGAAGTTAACACTGATAATAACCTTAGTTGTCCCATGTAAATATACTTTTTATTTCTACACTGCCTACTTTAAAAAAAAAAAAAGACCTATGGAATGTTAATTTGTCCAAGGGTCAACTAATATCTGCTAAACATCTGAATATAATTTTCACAGAGTCAATCCCAGATAATGCTCTCATATGAGCAGATAAAAAGTTGGTGGGGCTGTATATGTGTATGTATATTACACAATGCATCTATATATATTGTGCCTCCTTAGTATCTTAGCACTATAAAATACATAAGTAAATAAATGGCTGGTTAGTGACAACAGAACAATTTCCCCCAAGCTTGCCTGAAGCTGTCTTCATTGTGGAAAGGGCAGATAAGTATGTATACAGCCAAAGTGATACTAATTAAAAAAAAAAAAAAAAAAGTTATAACTGTCCCAAATGACGCATCTAAAGTTGAGCCAGATTTGCTTTCCTAGCTGGGGCTGAGAGTCTGGATTAACTGAAGTCTGTATGATCCTTTTACATGCAGACTCAAGGCCAAACTCACCCACTGTCTTTTGGTGGATACCTCAAAAAGCTTCAAGCCTGTGTACTAATCACTCAATTTCTCTCACACTAAGCTTTCCTTTCCATTCTAGCTGATTATAAGTTCAAACTAAAGAAGCTACCAGATCAAATAGGGGTTCAAGGACACTTTGATTCTCAGCTCTAACTTATCCTTGGACAGCAGCAGCAGTACATCCATTTCCATTAGAACATCAGTGGATATGAAATTCGGTTTGTTGTTGGATGATATGCGCAGCCCCTGAGAACAGTTCTTACCCCTCCCCAGTTGAGAGTTCGAGCCAGGTCATTCCCAGTCCCCAGAGGAAGGACCCCCACAGGAGGCTGAGGGCTCAGCTGTAGTTCATCCAGGATAGAAAGGATCCAGCCAACCTACAGGCATATCGGGGGCCAGAAGAGATATAAGAAAGATAAATAAGTTACAAAGAAAACAATTGGAGAAACAGAGGCTTTCAAGAACTAAACAGAATGGTTTTATTTTTCTTTAAAACATGTATGTTTTAATTCAGTGAGTAGGGAACAGAAAGACCACTTATCAAAGGCAGTTTCAAAATAAAGGAAAAAGAACCATTTTGCACATGCTCTACCATACAAGTAAAACAAAACCCATTCATTTGTGTGTTTAACTAGAAACACACTTGTAAATTTCTTAGAGTTTAAGACTTTGGTAGTATGACAGGGCACAGGAGGGAATATAAGACTCAGAATCAGACTGAATTTCAGTTCTGACTCATATTGGCTGCATAACCTTGATTAAATTATTTGACCTCACTGAGACTCATTTACTTGATTTTTCAAAGGGGGGATAATAATATGTACCTCACATGATTGTTTACTAATTAAACTAAAATGTACATAAAGCACTTAACATGGTACATGGCCCATGTAAGTACTTATTAAATGGTTGCTCTCTATAGTATCATCTTGGAAATTCATAGTGCTTTCCTAAATATCCCTCTATTTTCCTTAATGAAACATTAAGAAAACATAATTATAGACAGACTCAGTTCCTATGATAAGTTTAGGCAGGAAATTGATACTTACATACTAGAATCTTATTCCTGTTTAATCTTTTTCTAAGATAAATAATACTTTGGGTTTAGTCTTATAGCTAATTAGAAAAATTGACCAAAAGTTGGAAATGGCAAAAAGAAATCTGAATGTCCTTATAATGTCATACTAAAATAATGTTTCACAGGCCTATCTAAGGATTTTAAAACTGTAGGTTAACATAGATTTCTGTCCTATAGAGAGACTAATGTCAAGAAGAAATTATTGCTTTAAAGGTTATAGTTTTTATTCTCTCATAGGACATTATCACTTTTGTCTCAAATTTAGAAAAATTATTTGATATGAAGTACGTAAATCTTTTCCTCTAGTTCTGATAAATCAGCTTTACTATCTTGCAGGTTCCCTCGTTAAAAAGCTAAGCAAATTTTTTGACACGTATTCATTATATATTTGTATGAGTCATGCTTCTTGAAAACACTAGAGCATTCATTAATTGAAGACTACTTCATGTAAAACCCAGAACTAAGCCACTGAAATAGAGATAAATGAGCTAGGCTATGACAGATAAGGCAGAAAAGTTGCTCTCAGAGTTCACAGTAACACAAAGACAGACATACTGATGCCTTGTTATGCGCCATGCCTGAGGAAAGTCCTTTAATGAATTATTAAACTTTAAAATATTCTCTGTAAGATAGATATTAATGTAATTTTCATTTCCATCTTACAGCTAAGGAAACAGAGAATTGGAAGGGTAAGTGATCTCATTAGTATCACATGGCTGACACGGTAGAGATGGCATTCCAAAAATAGGAGCACCTAACACCAGTGGCCAACCCCTTAACTGCTGAGTTGTAGGGAGCCTTTACATAAAGAACTCAGCCCCCTGCTGGATATGGCCAGACCCTCCTGGAAGCAGTGGCATGTGATTTTTGGAATCTGTGGAGATGAGGAAACCTTAAACACTGCTTAATCGAATTCAGTGAGCTTGCAAATTGATAAACTAAGGTGCAAAAAAATCATGTAATTTTCTCAAGACTAAATGATTGGAAGTGTCAGAGTCAAGGCAATGTTGGTTCTTCTGACTTCCATCCAAAATTCTTTCTCCTCCACAAAGATGACTTTCCAGGATGTAAAACTTGCTTGTCTACCAATTACGTCTAACATTGTGTTTACCTTCTAAAAAGGCACATCACACAGTTCACCCAACATGATAACTAAAAACCCAGACTTATAAATGTCAAAAGTCTGTCCATTTCCCTACCTGGGGAACTTACTCCTAGATGGAGCCTTAGATTCTAACCCAGAGCTTCTTTAGCCTCTTCTTTTATGTGCAATACCAACAAAGCTTGCTACTGAAGTCAAAACAGAAAAGCCTGATACTAAATTAGTTCTGATGTTTGTGTTTGACATTGCTTCTGTGCTGCTAAAAGCACAAATTAAACACAGTAAAAGTAGGTTGCTCTAATAAACTGCAAGAAGGGGTCTTAAAGGCCATAAAAAGGACATAAACACTCAGAAAAAAAGCCCAACCATCTGGGATCACCAACTACAGACACAACAGCCCTGAATACAGCCAGACTCACAGACCCACAAAAGAACATAGCAGAAATCCAATTCACCACCCCATCCAAAGAAAGAAGAAGCCATTCTCAAAAACTCCTCTTAAGAGATGATCATTTAACCTCTCCTTTATGATTTGTATTCACAAGGCAGCCCATTTTCTTTCAGGTAAATTTAAGTTAGACATTTTTCTTATGCTTGCTTGAAATAGGTCTTTCTTTTCTGGGTAAAGAAAATGCTATGATTTTACACTTTCAATATCCTATTTCACTCAGACACAGCAATGATAGAAAAGGAAAAAAAAAGAAAAGAAAAGAAAGACATAGCTTCATGGGCCAGAAATAAATACAAAGTGGCAGAGCTGGGGTAAAGGCTTGCATCAGCTTGGCTCCTGGTCTTGCAGATAGCAGAGGAAGCTGGGATTTTGGCTTTTGCCTGAAAAATGGGAAAATAAAAGTGCGTCCCCTACCAACTGGCAGCTGTCCTGGAGTGAGGCTGCCTCTTAGTGGGGAGGAAGAGAGGAAGGCAGAATGTGAAAACCAGTCTGAGGTTATGACCCACAGAAAGGTGAGACCTGCTAGGGCTAAAAGCAGCCCAGAAAGCCTCACTCTGATAAGTGCTTGACCTGACTTCCTACAAGCCCACTGACACACCCCTGTCATCTCCCCAGGATGGAGCCATAGGAATCTATGAAAAACCCAGCTCTTGTCTGAAAGTTCTGCAAACATTCAATATTACTAGAAACCGAAGTGATACAGAGAAAAGTAAAAATCAAATAAAACAACTTTCTGTGAAGATGAGCTAGCAAAGAAACAATTCCACATCGCAAGAGGAATGCTAATACCAAAATGGATGGAACATTAGGGGGTTAATTCTCTGCCCATGGAACACAAACTATTTCCAAATGACTTTGAAGTACGTGACGTGCCCCACAACTTCTATGAATCCATGCTGTGGTTTCTTGGGAGCTTTTTTGGTTTTTTTGTTGTTTTTTGGGTTTTTTTGGTTTTGGGTTTTGAGACAGAGTCTCACTCTGTTGCCCAGTCTGGAGTGGCACAATCTCAGCTCACTGCAGTCTCTGCCTCCTGGGCTCAAGTGATTCTCTAGCCTCAGCCCCTGCAAACAGCTGAGAGTACAGGTGCAAATCACCACACCTGGCGAATTTTTTGTAGAGACAGGGGGTTTTGCCGTGTTGCCCAGGCTGGTCTCAAACTTCTGAGCTGAAAGTGATCTGTCCGCCAAAGTGCTGGGATTACAGGCATGATCCACCACGCCCAGCCGATGCTGTGTCTTCTAACAGCCCTCATTCAGATCTTCCAGGCTACATTCCTATTTGTTTTCTCAGAGAAGATTGTCAGGAGTTTTCGTGATACTGAGCTATGATTCCTCACAAAGGCAGAGCCCACAGGGCCCTTGGATTCCTCACCATCTCTTCTCCTTTTACCCTTGGTCTCTGCAGAACAGGACAAGTACAGAGGGTGTGAATGTAAAGGTGCTTCCCCTCTCATCAACCAATTTGCTTTATGAACTGGATAAATATATTGTCTCCTTTCTTCTGTAGCCAAATGATCAAATATGTCATTGTCTCCTAAAGACAAGCGGAAAATCTTGCATTTCATCATTCCACCACTTTTGGAGTCATCAAAGGCCTCCTGCCTTTCACAGAACAGATTTTGTTTTGTCTTGAAATTCTCCCACAGACAACCAACATTAGGCTAATAGTTCTCTGACGGAGATGGGTCTGTATCACTCCTCCATAGCTCCTGAATAGTTTTTCTCAGCCAGCAGCTCTATCAGCACTCCCCAACAGCCAGTGTCCCCAGAAGACAGCACAGTGCAGAAGTGTGGGGCACCAAGAGAGCGGCAGGGACCTCAGCTCCACCACACACTGGCTGGTTGAGTTTAGGCAAGTCACTTAATCTCTCTAAGCTCCCTTCACTTCTGTAAAGCTAAAGTAATAATAGTGCCTCTCTCTCAGAGTTGTTTCATCAACACGTGTAGACATTGCTTAGCGAGGGCCTGACAAACAGCAAATGCTAAACTAAAGTTAGCTACTATGACTCAGCTAGATTTTTCTTCCTCTTTTCTCACTTCATCCATAAAGGCCCAGTTTCCTAAAAGCAAAATGTCCTCTTCCCATTTCTCCGCTTAAAATTGGGCCTGGAGATTGCAAATCAGTCCCACCTTTGGCCATCAAATCAGGAAGGCTTTCTTTTGCAGACTCTAAAGAACAAACAGTAAAAGCCAAGCTGCCCTGCAGTAAAAATGGTCTATAAAATACAAAATGGAAACAAATACACACTTACAGCAGCAGGAGACATAAAAAAGTCTTGGGAAATACTCTGTCTTTGTCCTTAGAGAAAAACTTAATAAAAGATCCTAAAGCTATTTCTGGAAGCTCTGTCTTTGCAGCAATCCAGAACCTGTTTCTGCCTGAAGCCCAGATTGCACACTGAAAGGTTCTACAGGCAGGAACTCTGCCAGGGCTTTAGTATTTTCCCAAATCATCTCCACAAGCTCACCTTGTACCCTTTCAATTAAATTATTTACTTAATTTTTACATATCGCACTTAGTATGTTTTCCGCCAGCACTGAAGAAAGTTATCCTGATTGGGCGTAATCATCTTCCAGTTTGCAGAGTCCTTTCCTTCCTTCTTAGGAAAAGCAGGGCTGACAGCTTGAGAACACCAGGTCCTCCGCTTTGTCCCTGAGCAGCCAGGCACAGCAGCAGCTGGCCAATGCTGCCACCATCTGTCCGTTTTTAGCATTCGTTGTCACTGAATGTTTACCAAGCGCATCTT